GTCTTTCACCAGCCTCACAATATAATCGAATCCAGCTTCTGAACCATCTTTCTCTAGCCCGGAACTAACCTTTATGAACTTCCTTTGTAGACGAACCGGTAATTTCTTGATAACTGTCTCAATCACCGAACTTGAGTTCAACTCATCCATATTGTTAAGATAAACGAGAGTTTTTCTGTATACCATTAAATTATCCAAGACCTCTTAGAGCTCCTCGAGGTTGTCCCTTAACTGTGCCCCATTACGTTTGGTGGTCTCAAAAATGCTACGGGATATAGTAAATGGCCTTCCAAACCTTTGACGTAATATCCTCATGGCCTCTGTATATCCTGAGTTTAGGGGCATAACCTTACAGGACTGGATAGCTCTTGAAGCAACTCCAGTGCAATACTTCAACAAATGCATTTTCATCATTTATTGCAAGCCCACTCAACATGACTTCAAACTCCTTTACAAACTGTGGGTAGTCAACTGGGTTTCCGTCGAAACACCGACGTTCATATTTAGGAATTTTAAAATCTCTATTATTACTAGACGGGGAAACACCAACATCAACCTTATCATGCTTAACATCACACAAATCATTACATGTGACAGACAACTCAACATTACTTGCTTTCCTGCTTGCTTCCAAGACGCTCTGTCTCTTCTTTGACCCAGGCATCACTGAACTTGACGAAAAATTACAGAAAAGTTCCAGATAATACTTGTCCAAAGAAGACTTGCAGGCACCAGGAAAGACGAACGGAAACTATCCAAACACTATCAGAAACTGTCAGCCAAGTCTCGTAAACTGTCAGTGTCCAACTCTTATTACGCTGGGCCTCACGCTGTCCCTGGAAGACTTTCAGAAACACTTTGTATTAACCAACGCGAAAACCAGAACACAGATTGGTGACTCGAGAATCCTTTATTCTTGCGCCAATATGTAACCAACAATAAGGCTATTACACACAATGTCTAAGAATGAATGTTATAACAATAAATCGCGATAATACTTCTGATAGTTTCTTCTGTCTTCCACTGAACAGCGAACGATGAGACGATGACTGCTGGATTGATGACTCCGCGAAAAATATGGAGGAGTTGGGTTTGAGCAAACAACCATGAATTGATCGTTCAATCTTCAACTACATTAACACGATATACCCTAGTTAAGATCAACTGCCTCACTAAGTGATGAAAGTGGTAACATTCCCGCGGCAGGTAAAAGAGTGCTCCGGAACATGAGTGGGACATAGAGCTCCAATGGCCTTATATTCTGGTTAGGGAGTGAAGTCTAGAAATGGAATATTAACCCGGTATTGTCCATTATTTAAAATTCAAAGGACACGTATTATCCCGTTTGATCGGTGAGAAAATGGCTCGGTTGGATGAGAGAACAATACGATTAAAACAATACTTAGTGTTTTCGTTGGTGGTACATCAAGTGATTGGTGGGACGAAGTTCGGCCACGATGCATACTTACACCGAATACCCTCGTACTCATCAACTTGGTCTTTTCCGGCCCCTCTGCTTCCAGGTCATGAATTAAGCTTACCATGAAAAATTCACCTGCTACTCTCCTCACCCTACAAGACTGTGGACCATACTGCATATTTGTGGGAGATTTCGTAGAACATGGCAGCCACGTGTGGAATAGCTTGAGTACATGCAGTCTGCGAGTGATCGTCTGAAAATGAATCATGATCGGCAAGCCTAGCGGATTACATACATACCAGTAATTGCGTATCTCCAGTTTGATTTCAACAAAAGATAAAAATTCAGTTCTGAGTAATAATATAAGCTACAGGGTTGCAATTTAAGAGATTATTTACCGTCATAAGGCTGTTATAATTTGAAGTTTCTTAGTCTACACTTCGGCCACCTATTCGTTAATTTATCGTCCTTTCACAAGCACAGCTTCTATTATTTGAGTTTATCCTTATTCAGAAAGATTGCTTTTACTGCCTAGTTATTTCATTTATCCTGCAATTTCGTTAAATTTTTGACATTGATTCATTGTTAGTTAAACTTCCAACTTAGGCCAGTCAATTGATATTTATAAGCTGCTTCATTTCAGTAACTGCAGACGGTGAGAAACGACGGCAGAAACATTTTGACGAACTGGATCACTAGTGACTGCTCTTGAGAAACTTCATCCAAAGCGGTTAATGCATGCCATAGAATTGTTTGTGTCAGTAAAAATACAGTCCGAATTAGACCTTACTCTCGTTTGGTTCTAATGGCTTTCTGTCTCCAGAAGATCAGAGTATGTCATCAGCTGCTCCATGGCACAATCCCAAAACTGTTTTTCAACCTCATCACTGTTACAAGATGTATTTACCCACCTACCAAAGCATAGTACTTCAGTAAAACTAAATCTTCATGCTCAAATACATGAATAATTTAGTAATTAGTATTGACTATCTGCATAACCAACCCGCGGCTGATGAATAAGAATGCAGGCAGTAGATAAATAGGAATGTCTAACTCGAGCTAATGAAATCTATCTTAGCTAACACGAATAGTAAACCGGTTGAATATCACTCACAAATTACCAGATGTCAGCACAATACAGCCTCTATTTGGAATTGAGTACAAGCTTAACATATGCATAGTGTGCAACCTTTTAACTAGTACAGTGGAAAAATTACTAAAATCGCCTGCTGAGAATACTCCAACCTACTCCAGAAAGAGATCGTATCATCTGAATGAAAGATTCGATGTGGAACTGATTTAGAAGGAATGTAAACGGTCATCGCATTCATTAAGATCAAAATTTTACTCTAATTCTACGAAAAACACCCAGTGTGTTGTACCAAATAAAGGTTATGATATACGTCTTCTTAAAATAATTAATTCGGCTTACGAATAAATAAGAGGTCAATGGCATTTTAGCGGTAAATATTTCCTCAAAATTATTAGCCATAGCACTCACCATTCACCAATGGATGCTGACCCTTACTGTTTAAGTCGACCTGTTTCGCATAAGGTTCGCGTTCAAGCACCCACGCCATTTGGCACGCTGTCTTGTTATGTTCGGTTGTTTGTGCACGATCCCTTGCTAGTTAAACAGTCATCCTCGCACTACGACTTTGGTCTTGAAATATAATTCGTATTTTGGACGATTAGTTCAGTGTTAGTATACGTAGTACTATCCGTGAACGCCAACACTTTCAGCCTCTAAAGCACCTTTCGCTATCGTAGGAAGAAATAACAGAAGATATTAGAGACTTTTCATTTATATAGCAAAGTTGGGACTCTCAGTACCCTAATTTCCAAACCCGATTACTCTTGGTTGTTATGATAGATGTAAATTCAAATCAGATCACATGACTACTTTGGAAAATAGTCATAAAGAGCGTCTATAGGTTATAGGTAAGTCTATGTATCTACGAGATTTGTTTGAATTTGTGCGGTACTGGTTGTGCTGTCTCACTAAACTCGGTACGACTAATTACCTAATCAGTCAGTACTCCACCTAACTTGTAAGTGCTGAGAGAAAAACGTGAATCCGAAGGAAACAGTCATTTGGAAATGATTTTTGATGACCACCAAATTTGTACAGAACAAGAAGTTGAAGTTATTTAAGGAAAAGATTTTATAACTTATCTGGCTAATATGGCTGAAGTATGGGTTCAGAGTCTTTGCATTTTAATAGCACAAGGAAGGAGAACCAAATAAAGTACAAGCCTGATGACATGCATACCCGTTAAAACAGTACTTAAAACACCTAAAGCATCGGCAGGTGGACTAGAGATTTGTTTAGTTAATATTAGGTTGGGTTGGTTCGATGTATTGATTTTAACCCTTGATTTGCCTTAGTATCATCGAAAGTACAATAAAAAGTATCTTATGTAGACGTCCTATTCAGTAATTTAAAAAAGCTGTAAACGCATATTATTTTGAATCTACTCTTCCAAAAGGTACTCAACCAATATTCAAGTTCACAACGTAAACTTGGAAAAGTGCTGTACTCTCCTCATTTTTGCATTCACTTTCCTCTTGTATATTTTTTTCCATATATTGCCATCACTTATTAGTAACAGACTTTTATCCTGTTAGTGGGATATCATAATCGTTCGATCGTAATCATTAACTCAACACCACTCAAGATTCATAACAATTTCAATAAAACTAGACAGTTAAATTACCTTTGGGTATTCTGTTTCGGTAGCTGAAGATGCTAAAATATTCGAATCCTCAATCCACTCAATTACTGAGCCACGGGGATAATCTTTTATGCAACAAGTCCCAATTATTTTGGTTTCTCTAGTGTAGATGCATTCATTGGAAGAGTCCCAAATAAGTAGTTTCGAGCTTAGTTACAGTCACTAAAAGATAAAGAACGTCAATAGTGAACTCAATAGAGTTCCATGATGCTAATTTATGAAGCGGATAGGCCAAGATGATATCGAATAATTGGATTCATTAAAATCAACGAGAAATAATAAATTGGAACAATCGATAATAATTAAAAATGTGTTATGCGGAGCGATTTCCACTGCGAAGTTTGACTAATTTTATGAATAGTCATTCCTTGTTGAAATTTCATTGCAAAAGTTGCATACGATTGATTTCGTACAGTCATTGTGCCTTAAGCATTTTAAAAATGACTAAGAACAATATCCTTACAATTGACAAGTCCGAATGAAATTCTCACCGATAATTCTACTCATATTGCATTTGAAATATCTTTGTACAAAATGAAGTTTAGTTCCAAGAATAAATATTTTCGTTTACTTACTCATTTATTCTGAACTGTTTCCTTACATTCTTGTATCATTTATTGAAAAGATATCTAATAAACCAGAAACTTAAAACAGTCTACTAGTATTCTGTAACTTTGGCTTCTATTTGTTATCATTGTAAAGAAAAAATTCAAATATTTATATTGATGTATGTCTATGTCACAACCGAATATGATTTCTGTGAATTAATATTCACTGGCTAGTTTCTGTAACATTTTTGCAAAATTCATAGTTTTCTTTCAGGTTTTTCTTTTGTCAATAAAATCCTATGCATTGGATACGATTTCACAGTGATTTTCAGTAGGTTTAGAAGTTACTGCCTTCACTTTGGAAGGTGGACATTGAAATTCTGGTCGCGAACCATCACTTCTCATTTCCTTTTTCTGATAACCAGTATATCCTGACATATTAAAGCTCCTTTACAAAACGTATTAAGAAAACAAAAAATAATAGCAATTCACACATGCAGATAAAAAGAAAAGATTAAATTGTTCTTGAAGTTAGCGTGTTGATCGGGGAAACAATTAAAATACTTGAATGTTATGCTAATATTTTATGTTAAATTTACTACAGTGCTGATTGGTTAATCAAAACTTCTTTATTAACAGTTATGTATTGACGTTCCAATTAATATTACCTTTCTTTAAAAAGTAGTACAGTAGACTGCACATGCATGAATTTTAAGATGACAAACTTTATACTCTGCAGACATTAGGGTGATTCTACTTAAAACACTTTTACAAAAAATTAATTATATTTGAATTAGTTGTCAGCTTTTCCACTCTAAGAAATCGATACAACAATAAGGGACTGAATAAAGTAAAGAAATTTTTTGCTTTTCAAGTATTGGTTTTGTAGGCATTTTGTGTTTGATTGCATGGAGGATTTCATCATGAGCTCGCCTTGTAACCAGAAAATCCTGGGTTTGAACCCCGGTGAGTGTGTACTGCTGAAGAGTTCCGAACTAGGACGAAACAGCTTTCCAGGGCTCTCGGGTTTTCCAGTGGTTCTCTAACTGATATCAGCTCATGATGAAATCCTCCATGCAGTTTTGTGCTTTATTATGAAGTGCACATTCAGCTACATAAAATTAAAGAATTTATACACAAGAAGATTGACAAAATAAAGTGAATTAGTCTCATTCTATAAAGTTTCATCAGTTTCAGATAGCCTGATGATGCTGTAAGATACTGGTAGTCTTATCGGTTAGCTACACTATACCAGTCCCCTACTAAACGAAATTCGTCTAAATGCCTAATAAATCAGTACTCCATATAACTTGTAAGTATTGATAACAAAAAGGCAAATCAAAACTGTTTAGTTAATTTGTTAGTAATTGGCCCTGATAAACAGGATATCTGAATGAAATAAAAAGTTGAGATTATTCAACGCAGAGGATTTAGGACTTATCTAGTTAGGATAGCTGAACCAATGAGTCAGAGAATGTACGTCTTAACAGCACAAGAAATGAGCGTAAAAATGGCATTCCCCAGTCAGTCTATGTGTACACTCGTTAAAACAAAAAATTTAAAACACTGGAAGGTGTACTAAAATGCAGTGAATATTGAAGTTGGAGTATACAGGGATGAAAATTTTCAACGGTTTAAGTTAGAAAGTGGACAGCATTGGCATATAACACATGATTATAAAGGTTTTTCTATTTCTCATTTAATTAAAAAGCTAAACAATTATGTTTTTACTGATGTTTCATTGTTTAGTGCTAATAGCTCCATCAATGTAATGTTAAACCACAATTTATAAAATCTCAGCTTATATATATATATATATATATATATATCGTAGACTTCAAACCATATCAGAAGGCAATGTAATAAATGCAACAGCGGAGTTCTTTTAAAAAACATCAGATACACTAGAAAGCAATCTTGTTCATGTAAGAGACGGAATTCCAAAAGATTCATAATCTAAGCGCCTATAAAATAACATGCTTAGAATTTGATAAAATATAAATTGGATAAACCTCGCAGGAAATCAAAGTCCAAGTAAATGAATACCTTGGAGCTCTATTCTACGACAAAGAAATCCTATGGAAAAGCTTGACAAATCATCGGTCATAGGTCTACACAGTATAGAATCACTCCAGACAGTTGGTTCTGATAATGTCGAAATCTTTCAGAAAGATTTCTAGAAATCGCAAAGGGCGTGTCAGATAGAAAACACTTCATATTAAGTGGAATCCAAATTGTCTGAATAGAAAGGATGGACTAAGAAAGGATTTAACCTGTCATCATGACGTAACAAATTCAACATGAATATAAACAATTTCATTATGTGAACACATGTTGTTCTTATAATTTCTTACATTCTTCAGATCCAAAAGTCTAAACATGATTTGTTATCTTCACCAATTCATCCATCTGATAACGTTTAAAACCAGCTCATTCTCAAGAGCAGTGATTAAATTACTGGATATAAGCTGAGATTTTTTGTAAATTCTGGTTTAATATTACTTTGATAAAGACATTAGCAATGAATAGCGAAAAGTCATTAAAAAAAACAGTATCGTTTTTTCATCCATTGGGAAACACGAAAAGTTCTGTAATAGTGAATATCACATAGCCAACACCCGAATTTTTAGAAACTTTTAAATGTGCGTTTGGTATGGACATGTATACTTGAATGCAACGAATGAGTTTTGAGAATCCAGAAGTCGAAATATGCGCAAAAGCCGACGTCAGTGTATATTTTTGATTAGATACTAGTAACTAACTAGTGTCAAAGTGTCTAATACAGTCCTACAGGAGCCCGGATAGCTCAGTGATAAAGTCTCTGACTTCAGTAATGAGTGATGTGGGGTCGAATCTCAGAAGGGACAACATGAGTTCCTTCAGGGTTGCAGATAAGCCTTACTGACCAGTACCGATTAGAACGAAGCTTAGATCTAGGACTTCCTGCCGATTGCCTCCAAACATTTAATACCAACAAATCAGTGTACATTTAACTGTATTTAAATTGGAGGAAACATTAAGATATCTGTCACAAAGGAGATGAACAATAATTCAAGAAATGGCCTTAAAAATACTACAAGTAGAATAAGACAATTGGGTTATTGAACTACTGAGTAAGCTTGTTCTGAGAAATCTATTATTCTGTAATAAGAAGTTCCACTGCCTTTGTAGCCACCTTCATAAATGTAGTATTTTCCGAAATCAAACTATTCTGATTTATGAAAGATATGTATAACTAATTAATTCATTTGGTTTTAAACTAATTGACTGTCTTATTAGCTGACAGACTTATACTGAATGTAGTTTTCTTATGTTTCGTGTTCAAATTTCATACAGTCATTTGTTTTAATAAATACAAGTTAGAATTTTGGTTGGTGATTTGCTGAATTTAACTGTTCGTGTGAGCTTGTGCAAGATAATCTGACTGATTAATTGTTTTAGTTTACTGGACTCACAGTTTCCTGACTGACTGATCTGCCCATCATCATTAAGTTGCCAAAGTGAAATTAGTCTGGATTGCCTCACTTCCACTAACTGCAATAAATATAACCTGATCTCGTTAACTAACCGTCACTTCACATGAATGAAGAAACTTCATGGACTAAAACTGTTATATACTTGTCTATTGTCCCTGCTAGATTCACGAGTGTATCGTGTTTAGATAAGAATAAAAACTATCAAAAACTTTGCAAAACTCTGTTTAACGTAACCTGTACATCTTTATTCTTTTGTTTTCTGATATTAGAACTATGTATTCCATTGATTACTTTCTTTCGAATGAGCGTATCTGTCGTTTGCGTAACAAATTGCAGAGCTTAGGGTTTACACTAAACAATCTTTTCATTGGAAGTAGATTGAAAAAGAGGTGAGATGCAGTCAACTGTCTCACATTCATCTATACACTGATCTCAGTAAGTACAACTCACACCTCTTACATTCAGAAAAGAATGCCTTTACTGAAAATGTGATAAGAGATACTTGACAGAGATAATCCTCAGGGAACTTACAAATCAAAATTGTATTCTTGTGGAATTTTCTGGCGAACCAAATTGACTGATTTATATTCTTTGTATGGATTATCACTATCAACACGTCTGTCATTTGTAGTAAATGATCCACTGAAATTAAATTATACAATAAATGTACATAAAACTAACGGAGAAAATTGAAACTGAAAGCAGTAATCATAAGTGTAAATTCGAAATAACAAGTGTATAATTTTTAGGAAATGTGTAGACGATTTCCTTTACAAGTCGTAAACGATCGAATAACATTCAAAAAATGGTAAATGAGAGCCCCATATTATCGTTGTCACTTGTCCTACTCTCAATGTACTGTCTATGTCAACTATTGACGAAGATTGCTAGGCGTGATCCCCAATCACATACACCTTTAAATGTTCTCTTCTGAATCCAAGAAATATATCAGATAAGTTTTTACGAGTTGATCACGGATTGATATCAGTTAGAGAACCATTGAAAACCAGGGAGTACTTGACAGCTGCTGTTTCATCCTAGTTTGGGAATCATCGGCAGTACACACCCACTGGGATTCGAACCCACGACCTTCCGGTTACAAGGCAAGTTCGTATACCATTGGGGTCGCGCTAAATCCCGAATCGGTAGAAGTTAGAATTCATGGGCTGGCCATTGAATCGGCTCCCAGTGGCTGAATGGTATACAAGCTTGCCTGAAGGTCCTGGGTTCGAACCCCATTAGGTGCATACTACCGATGATTCTCAAACTAGGATGAAACGACTGTCCAGTACTCCCTGGTTTTCAATGGTTCTCTAACTGATATCAATCCGTGATCATCTCGTAAAAACAAAACTAACCATTACAAACCAAACTATAGAAGATATCAGATAAGTCTTTTTAAAAAAAGTTAGTCGTCTTGAAAACTCAGTAACTTTGAAGGCCATCCAATAAATGCCAAGACGCAGAAAAGTCAGTAGCCCGTTATCATCTATTGATGCAACTGGTTATTGTCGTATTTTTATTCGGTAAACTCCTATCTTTTAAGTCGCCTTAAAACTAGTCCAATTCACCCTCTGAATGTTCATCATGCATTGATGAAAATGTCATGTCTAGGTTTATCATCAACAAAGGGTGTTCTCAAAATCTATATTATTGTATATGTGTATACTGTTGGTTGTGGCGCTGGTGTGGTCATCTGTGAATAATAACTGAACAGTAGAAAAGAAATCTGTAGCACATACACCTAAAACACCGTAAGCATTAGATTTGTTTTTGACGAGTTGATCACTGATTGATATCAGTTAGAGAACCATTGAAAACCAGGGAGTACTGGACACCTGTTTCATCTTAGTTTAGTAGTCATCGGTAGTTGTCCATGACCATCTCATAAAAGCATATCTAATCCTTACAAAACAAACATTTAAAGTCATTCTTATCCTCGTTAGTGACTGGCTACAGGAAGACATTACCTGGAGCTCTAGTGAGAAGTCGTGACCAGTGGGGTTCATCCAGTTAGGAGTGAGGATGGATGTCCCGCTAAATCACGAATTGGTAGAAGTTAGAATTCATGCACCGGCCAATGAACTGGTTCCCATTGGCTGAATGCTATACGACCTTGCCTTTTGACCGGAAGGTCCTGGGTTCCAACTCCGGTAGTGGGTGTGCACTACCGATGAGTCCCGTCAACTGGGACAAAACATCTGTCCAGTACTCCTTGCTGGTTTTCAGTGGTTTTCTAACTAATATCATTCCCTGGTCAAACTCGTAAAAACTTAGTTGTCTGACAAGGAATACATATGAAACACTCCATATTGTGTTGAGAGAACTCTGCTGTTACAGAGAAAATATGAGATCCCGATAATAGTATTTTAATCTAAATTGTTCATCAGTCTACCGCTTTCAAACTTAGATTTAGCTGCAGGTTGTATATCCGCTTTTTGTAGTTATAAAAGAACTGTGTGTGTCACGATTTCTCGACATCAATCATTTAATTCTCAGATCTGTATAGTTTTATAGTAAGGCTAGCCTACTGTCTCATTTAACAGAATAAATATAGTTTATGAAAATATTTCTGGGCAAAATAATTTTTAAAATCATACTTTTTTTCCTTCACGTTCCCAGTGGAACATAGGGCCTCAAGCTAGTGGCTTGAAGTTTCTGTAGTAGTGTTTAATTTTTACAGGATGGGGTTGCTAGCCTCATGCCGAACCTTTCCTTTTTAACAGTATTATTCCTGGCCTAGCGAGGTAAATGAGTGAGTCGGCCGTGGGTCGAACCCCAGACCATGTGCATGGTCGGCGAGCGTCCTAACCTCTGTGCCACCGACGCCTAATTAACTCGAATCTGAAAGAAAAGATGAAAAGTGTTCAGTTAATTTTATATAGCTGATCAATAGGTCATTCATATATTTCTGAAAAAATGAGCAGAATTAAATCAGCAGTGATCCTTTGTTGAAAGCTCATTATAACAGATATCGTTTATGGTGAATTCCTATAAGAGTTTATCGTTTTCTATATGGCCATATATATATATATATATATATGAGAGTACTAAATATGAACTGTTAAATTGTGGGATTCCTGGAAATTTCGGATTAATTTCAATCGTTGGATTCTAGTCATGAAGCAACACCAATCAAAGAGACCGCTGAAAATCAGGGAGCACTGGACAACTGTTTCGTCCTATTTCAGAACTCCTCACAGTTCGCACCCACGACCCCACCAGGCATCGAACCCGGGACCTTCAAGTCACTTAACCAAGGTCACTGAATATCATTCTAAACGAACATAGAGACATATTCAGAAATTATGGTTACAATAAGAAAATTTCACAAAGTGAACGGTGACAACCCCTTCATTTTGATTACATATCATAATTCCATATTAGATAGTTTGATTTCATATAACATAGGGATACGGTATTGACAACCGACTGACATTTCCAGCACCACTTTTTGCTCATCTTCTCCAGAGTGAAAGCATTAAAAAGTAATGTAGTTAGGTGGAGAGAGAGGTTGATCATCGAATATTTGTTCATCGAATCAACAGAAAACATATGCAGTTGAAATGACACATTGTCTATACCGGATATATGAAAAATTGTGATCACCAAATTATGCAGTTGTGTGAATACCCTGATATGATTACGAGCAATAAATTGTGCCCTAAACTTCATCCAGGTACCAACAACGTATTATAGCTTGTTTAAATCACATAAACTTATCTAATGTGGGACTATGACCTACCACAGTGCCCCAAATCTACACTTACACATAATAAGTCTATTATTCTTATTAGTGGATCAGAAAAGATTAGTCCCATGCCTACGGCTTAAATAGCTAACGAAAACAAATTAGGTGATCAAATTGCTGGCATATGATTTTAAAATTAAAAACAATTCAGCCACATGATTTGAGTCATCTTTCATTTATTGTTCCAGTTAGTAAAATATCGAAGGGTAGAGAATAAGGATACTGTTATCGAAGCGGTGAAAACCTGAAAACCTACATTCATCAGAATCTTATAATATATGTGCTGCCCATGCTGATCATAATATACATCAAGCCAGACAACAAAATTTAGCTAATTATTCAACTTCTCTTGTGTGCTTGGCCACTAGATTTTGTTGTTTACAAAACATTGACAGTAATCTTGACTACAAGATACCTCTTACCTTTGGAAATTGTTTTGTCAAACCTAATTTTCTACATCTAAGAGTCCTAAATCTGTGTCAGTTAATGCATCCACATGTTGCGCAATCGATAAATACACTTGCATCTAATTTTAGCAGACAAATACTACATTATAGGTTGGAAAATACGTAGAAGTGTCAGAAACTGGACTAAAAGCTTAACATTAATGAAGGCGAGCTTCAGGTGAACCTTGCTCAGTGGGATTGTCTCTGACTGCAGCACTGGCCGACGCGGGTTCGAATCACAGAAGGCACATGGGTTTCGTCAAGACTGCAGATACGCCTTGCTGACAAGTGCCAACAAGAATGATACCTAGGTCTAGGACTTCTTGTCAAGTGCCTCCGACCATCTAATACGCACAACTCATAGTGAACCGTGGTGGCGAACCATCTAACATGGTGACCACATTGTAAACTTGACTGAAACAATTCAGTCTGCACCAAAAAAGGACTAGACATATGACAGCAGCTAGTTAGTGTGCTATAAATATACATTTGAAATAGCTTGATATTCACTGAGGAAAATCTTACGTCTACAGTTCCACCTTTAAACAACCTTCGGGAGATACTCCGTCAGTTTGAATCCCTAAATTACCAAGCTTCGCTACGTAATTCGCATCATCAGCATTTTCTAAATTTTGTATTGCAAATACTTTTCACTGTCTGAGAACCTCTTCCTTGTATTACTAAATTATCTGGATATCAAACCACCAATTCAATTTTATTAGTTGGTATACTTCATCAGTGAGTAATTAACATGTGTTTACTAATGAATACGCTTTTAGCTGTCATATTTTACATATAATGAGAAGTAATTTTGTCTTCTTTCATTAGAGTTTAGATGGTTGATGCATAACTCAAATGTTGAAAAACGGTAGTTAAAAAAGGATACACAGGATGGTGAGCTGGAGACTGGAAGTAATACTCATGTAAGAAAGTTATCCTGATTTTCTTTAATGTTGACCGAAAACGTGATTAACGTTCAACTGATTATTTTAAGAAGAAGTTATTCATAGGCGGGATCAATTTGCTGGAGTTAAAACCGTGCCATATATATATATTAGGATTTCATCATGAACTGACATCGGTTAGAGGGCCACCGGAAACCTGAAGTCTTAAACCAGGACGAAACAGTACTCCCAGGTTTTCCAATGGTCCTCTAACCGATGTCACTTCATGATAAAATTCTGAAACCAATTAAATCCCTGCAAACCAACACTTGAATATATATGTGTGTAAAGGTATAAGACGGGAGACTTGGTAAAGGAATGCTTATTAGCAATTTGGTATCTCTATATAGCTAAATTATGTACACCTTATCTTCAACACACCATTTGCATAGATCTTTCTTGTTGTGCTACTTCTGGCCTTTATTCTCATTGTGTTTCTTTGTGTTCCTTTCACATCTCCCGCGTTTCTCCACAACGTTGTTTCATTTATCTTCTCTGAAATCATAATTATCTCCCTGCTATTTGATGTTTTTATGCCAATGAACGTCTCTTTACATACTACTGATAAACCTTACCAGTAGTATACGCCGTATTTATATGATAAATAAGATGGACCATATGACTGCACTCTAGACTAAATTGCTACTAATATTTCTGTGATGTGAAATCTTTGAAGTCGTTTCAACGACGTTTCATCAAAAAAGAGGTTCCGAAAGATTTTAGTTTTAAAAAGGAGAGAAAGGTCATAGAGCTTTTCAAAAAGCTTGATAAAACTAAAGTTCACTTTTCAGTCATCTTTAAAGTTTATTGCATGACTAAAGCAGTTTAAGTAGTAGAAAATTAAAGCAGGTATGAAATGATGAAACAGACGGACAAATGCTTATTTATGTAGATTTATAGTAGATTTTCAATCTTAGTCATATAATCTAGAAGAAAAAAAAATAATCCTTACCTCTGGAAAGAATTACTCAAGAAACTTCTGATTAAATTTCAATACAAAAGTTACATACCACCTTTTTCCTAGACGTGCAAACTTTTAATGTTTTCAATCTTTTGTTCTCACAAGTGTAAATGAGCTTTGACATAGAATTTAACATCATGATAATCATGATAATTGCTTTTATTAGGTTGAGTTCGCTGACAGGCTACCAACAGTGTAATAGGTTGAAATTTGAGTCGTGACAGAACTTGATCTAGCCGACTTCAGATTACTAGTCTGTTACTTTACCAGCTCAGCTACTGCACTCACTCTAAAACCAGGTCATTATTTTTACTGCATTTATCTCAGGAAATGCCGAGACTGCATGGAAATAAATGTTAGGCAGTTATCTTGTTGATCACAATACTAACTTCCAACCTACGTCTTCTTCTGTCAATCTAAAGCATACTGAGTTAGAGGAGAACATCTGAACTAGTAGTGCTCAAGCCGATAATCTCAATACTTTTGCAACCTAGATCTTTATTCCACCTTTAACTACTTCATTATTTGCAGTATTGTAAGTTTCATTTTCGACGTGAAAAGCTGAAAACTTTGGTTTGCATTGAGAGGCCTTTGGCATTGTGTATGCATGGTTTTACAAATCACCGTTTTATTGAATACCTTCCAGGAATTCAAAAAAGCCTTCTTGATTATTTCCAGGTTATTTTTTTCCTAACTATTCAGCTGGCTACTACATCTTGCCAGTTTTGTCACTTCAGCTTTCGAAGTGGAATGAAGAGCATTAAGTTGGGGAAACTAATTAAATTGTTTTTTTTCTTTACTTATCACTGTCAAGCAGATATAATCCATATTGCATTCACTAAAATGAGGTTAAACAACTCAACGTTTATTCCCACTTGAAAGTTGGATAGGTATGTATTAGTTAGGGTTTGTCTTACGAACTTTCTGCTTCAACATTATTTATACATCTTTAAGTTCAACTTCGTAATAGAAATTTACTTTGGCGTTTACATAATAAGACTAACTGTTTAATGACAAACATTGATGATATGGACTAAATTTTTATCAATGCTGGTGTACTTTTTACAACAAATACCAGTATGTAAATAGTAGTTAGACATTTAACCGTGTTTGTTTGCTATAAGGTTAGCATTTTCCCACCAATATAAAGACGAAACAATCGAATTACTGCTGGCTCATTGGTAGTGGTCTTAGAAGTACCATCAGCCCCAAGGGGTTGATCTCTGACAAAATCTCAGAACGGATACAGAGGGCTGGTTTCGCATATGCCAGTTTACGCCGTCTCTGGCGTAGACGTGATATTCGGCTGTCGACCAAAGAGCCGACATAGGGTCAGGCTGGAAAAGAGCTAGTGGCGGTCAAACCAAAGCATGGCACCAGTCAATGAAATCTACAACAGTTAGTTTACGCCAGCCACGTAGGGAGGTGCAAACTTTCTGACTGGTTGGCGTCCTCGGAACGGTAAAAACCAATGCAGGCTGGAAACAATTGGTGACATGGCTCAAAATCGTTCTCAATGGCTGGCGCAGATGCATCCACTCCTTGTGACTTATGACTTCCAATGAAACTATATTTTTCTTCTTTATTGCTACTCCTTTGTCTCACACCTCTGTTTACTGTCTCTATTATGCATTTCTTCTCTTTCTTACTTTCTTCTCTTGCTTTGTGTGCTACAAAGAGGGAGTGTGGCGACTCGAACTGTCGCACATCGGTGCAAAGTTCTACGTCGAAAACAGACAGACAGACAGTGGTCTTAGAAAGTTACTTTATTTCATGATTTCCTATCATTCTTTCTTTACTTTCTCCTCATATTTGAAGAGGTATATCAGCAGTTTACTACAGCCTAATTTTTACATGTGCATTGGTAATAATTGCACTTTGAAGTATTCTTTTCCATATGAATTTGTAAGGTATAGACTTTAGTAAATGACATGAACTTTCTCCATGTGAATTTTTTCCGTATTGACGTATTCTTTAATGTAGAAATATAAGTGACATTTCAATCATTTTCTTCAGTGCTACGTATAGTATACACTGGAGATAATCACTTTATTATTTCTACGCCAGAAAACATTAATTGAGTTCCATACCTTCTAGTAAAATTTATACTACCCAGTGTTGATCATCAATTTAAAGAGCAAACGTAGTACTCACCTGTATCCTGGTATCTGATCAATACGTGGGTAGTGTGAACATCTGAAGAAAAAGAGAAGAAAACGGGTAATGCTAATAATAGTCTATCAGATGGACCAGAAATGCAACTCTTTCGTTTTCATTATTCTAAAACCCATATATCATTTTCGTTGTTACATGAGGGCATTCTAGTAGTTATGGTGAAACACATGGCAGTGTGCGCTATCTCTATTCAAATCTTGAACCTATCGAATGTACCAACTTTTGTGAATTTTTGAGAAGAGGACTGGGAGACTTAGGTACGTCAGTTACTGAGCTATAAAACTCTGCCAATATAGTTAAATGCCTTTATTCGAACTTTGACTTAGAGTTAGCTGACAGCAGAAGTCTTCACACTGTAATAGACAGGCGTTTTAACCTGAAAACTCTTGTTAAAATTTGATATAACTGCTTCTAAAATTTTCACAAACATGGATTTTAATAAAAATCATATTCAGAACTTTTTACAACTGATGATTACCGTCAGGTTGAATCATTTTGTAATCACACAAAATGGAATATATTGGATAAGACATAGAGAGAAACTGGAACAAAGGGAAACAGAAATTTAAATTAGCCAAGAGGCGAATGCAATAACTAACAAAATTTGCAACATAATTGTCCAGACACAGTCTGTAAAAGTTGTTCCACTAATCATGTTAACTACGGGTAAGAGTACTAGATACGAATGCAATAAAATTGTTCTTGTAAATTCACAAACAAAAATATATTTCTCATTATTAATTCTGGAACTACTAGTTTGACTCCAGTAGCAACCCAGATGTTTTCCAGCCGTACACTTGTTATTAGATAAGTTTTAAAAACAGTGCCACTTCGATGCAGTTTGAACACTAATGCTTTAGAAACCAGTAGGGTTCATCACATATCATTTGAATAAAAGTAAGCTCAAACACTTTGCTAATGCGTCGAAATCATTCAAAAAATAAAAATAAACTAAGAAATGAATAGGTGGCTTACACTTCATAAGGTCTGTCTTCATTTATATACGGATATCTCGTTTGTTTCAGGTCATACTGAAGTGGATCAAACTTCTCCGGCTATTGATTGAAGAAAACAGTGATATATGTATAGAGAAGGAAAAACATATAAAGCTGCTTTCCTCATTTTCAGTTCAGCGTTTAAAATGAACAAGGTAACTATTTGCATAAGATGAATAAAACATTAAATTAAACAATAGAGACAAGTAGTTATTTGTCAAATTCTGTCTGTCTGGATTCAACATAGAACTTGGCACCGAAGTGCAGCAGTTCGAGTTGCCACGTTCCAAATCGCACACAAAGGTAGACAAGAAGATGAGTGGAGAGAATTAATGGAGTTTCACAAGTATAAAAGTGAAACAGAATGGGTAATGGTAGAAAGGAATATGAAAGATTACAGAGACTGAGTACATCTGCGCCATTGACAACGATTTTGAGCCATGTCACCTATTGTCTCTAGCCACTGATTCCTAGAGTCCCGAGGACCTCAACCCGGAAGTCTGAATGTCAAATTAATGAAGATTTCAATACTTTCTTCAGGTTATATAGTCTAAAAGCCCCATGAAAGCAAGGTTTCATACATATTGCTTTGCCCTAATAATGTGAAGCATTCATGGAAGATAAGGGTGATTTCTTGGAGAATTGAAAAGCTTCATACATTTATTCCCCTTAATGAATTTGAACAAAGCAAGAACTACAGTTTTAGCAGAATAAAATGGTACCATCTTTTATTTCGTTGCCTTCTCATCAGCTGCTTACATGGTAAAGACATTATTAAATATATCTACAACAACAACACCATGGCAAACGAAGCAGAACAAGCTGCAGTGCAGGCAAAGGAGACCTCGCCACACTCTACCAAACAACTAGGAACCTTTCGGGCAAACGTTCGACACAGATTAAGCCAATAAAGGACGACAATGGAAAGTCAATCACCAAAGAGGTGGAATAGAGAAAGCACTGGGCTGAACACTTCAAACGACCTCTAAACCGTCCGCCACCTACAACACGCCCAACAATACCAACAACGGAAGCAGAACTACCAGTGAACACTGACCCCCCGACGAAATCAGAAATCCTGAATGCAATCAAGATGCTTAGAGCTGGGAAAACACCGGGACCAGATGGAATCCCAGCAGAAGCTTTGAAAATAGACCCAGAGACAACAGCGGACTTGATGACACCACTACTGGAGAAGGTGTGGAAAGAGGGCAAAGTACCCGAGGATTGGAAGAACGGATACTAATTCAAACTTCCAAAGAAAGGAGACTTAAGTCAATGTAAAAACTGGCGTGGAATTATGCTTCTGTCCATTCCAAGCAAGATACTAAGTCGCATCATCCTGGAGAGAATCAAACAAGCCCTAGATGAAAAACTTCGTCCGAAACAGGCCGGATTCAGGAGAAACAAATCATGTATTGATCAAATCGCCACTCTACGGATCATCATTGAACAAAGCTTGGAATGGCAGTCACCTCTCTATCTCAACTTCATTGACTTTGAAAAGACCTTCGACAGCGTCGATCGAGAGGTAATTTGGCAACTACTTCGCTACTACGGGGTCCCATCGACAATCATACATCTCATCCAACAGTTATACGACAATGCTGCATGCCAAGTAATCCACAACGGGAAACTTACGGAGGCCTTCGAAGTGAGGACGGGAGTGAGGTAAGGCTGTCTACTATCACCAATGATCTTCCTGATTGCAATTGATTGGATAATGTGACAGACAACGGCAACCAACGAGGGAACAGGCATAAAATGGACTGACACAAAAGACTTGGAGGATCTGGATTTCGCCGATGATATATGTCTGATTTCCCATAAACTGGAAGATATGCAAGTGAAAAGTAACAAGTTGGCAGAAGAAGCATCAAAGATAGGACTTCACGTGAACATAGATAAAACAGAGATGATGAAGATTCCTAGCCAACATCAACAGCAACAACAACAGACAACAATCAGCATAAGTGGGAAGAACCTGAAAGAAACAACCTCCTTCACCTACCTGGGAAGCATCGTCTCAACTACAGGCGGAACTGACGAGGACATCAAAGTCAGAATCGGAAAAGCAAGACAAGCTTTCATGACTCTCAAATCTGTGTGGAGGTCAACAGCACTCAGCATCAAAAATAAGATCCGGATTTTCAACTCCAATGTGAAGTCAGTGCTACTATACGGATCAGAAACTTGGCGAGTCATGAAGAGCATCTCAAACAAACTTCAAACCTTCATTAACAGTTGTCTCCGCTCAATACTCAAGATCAGATGACTAGAAAAGATCAGCAACAGGGATCTCTGGGAGCGAACCAATCAGGAACCGATTGTGAAACAAATAGGCAGAAAGAAATGGAGATGGATTGGCCATACGCTGAGGAAACCATCAAGTGACATCACTAGACAAGCCCTCGAGTGGAACCCGAAAGGGAGGCGGCGATTTGGTCGTCCAAGGGTGACTTGGAGGAGGTCATGCGAGGAGGAGATGAAAGCATGTGGACAGACCTGGAGCAGGGTGAAAAAGTTGTCAGAAAACCGAAGGCAATGGAGGTGCGCAGCTGAAGCCCTATGTTCCTCTAGGAACTAAAGGATACAATAATAATAATAATACAACAATAATTTTAACATACTTGCACAGAGTTAAGTTTAAACAAAAATCAATCGATCAATATACTCATACACTAAAAATATACATATATAAATATGCAATATTAACCACTATTCCGAACAATAATAATCAAACACAATGGAAACTTTTAGCATTTCACATTCGGATGAAAGAGAGGTGAAATTATCCAGTTACCACCTCTCTTTCATCCGAATGTGAAATGCTAAAAGTTTCCATTGTATATGATTATTACTGTTGTTCGGAATAGTGGTTAATATTGCATATTTATATATGTATATATTTTTAGTGTATGCGTATATTGATCGATTGATTTTTGTTTAAACTTAACTCTGTGCAAGTATGTTAAAATTGTTGTTGTAGATATATTTAATAATGTCTTTGCCATGTAAGCAGCTGACGAGAAGGCAACGAAATAAAAGATGGTACCATTTTATTCTGCTAAAACTGTAGTTCTTGCTTTGTTCAAATTGAAAAGTTATCTTAACCTTTTCAAAAGACGCGCACAACATATGTTAATTGTGCTTTGTTTCAACTGAGAGGTTTTGTAAGTTCTTATAGATTTCAAGGCGGTTCCTATAGATCGATAACAGAGAAAAAAACACTGGAAATCACTGAGAAGCGAATAGATGTTTTGTTTCCATTTAGCGTTGTCCATCCTGGCTCATGGACTAATGAACCAACAGTAGGCGTGTCATGTGTTTAACATTTAGTTGCCAAGTTCTGATCCCATAAATACGCTTCTAGCTTTTAACAATTTTAAGGTATAACCAGAATATTCTCTGATCTCGACAGACAGACAGATCTCGTTGAATTTTTTCTCTTAGTGTTCCCGCTTTTATTGCAACTTCTGGAGATCCATCGCATGGTACGTAATTAGTGAGAGTCTGTTCCACAATGAATTGTAATATTTTACTCATTTTCGTTGGAAACTAAAATTTTCACTTTCCTTCATCAGCGACGTTTTGGCAAAGTTAAGTAGAATCAGTTAAATAAATAGTATGGCAGGTTAATATTTACCAGTGTCATTGCCACATTCAGTACAAAAATTCCTCTTGAAGACGAAGACCATTGTTCTAGTTTTGATTATAATACTGAAAAAATCCCACTGATCACCGGTGAAAAAAGCAACTGAACTATACAAACTTAGCCCTTAAAAAATGGCTCATACCATAAACCACCCAGGAAAATACAGTGAACGCAGAACGGCAGAACACATATTGCCGTTCAGCACAAATAAGAAACTACGTGCATTTTTAATTCACCATTCACTCCAGTATTTATCACGTTCTTGCAATGCTAAAGTGCTGATCATTTAATTGTTCTCACACTTGAGAGGATTGGGTATGTTTGAAAATAAAGAATAATTTAGTGGAGAAAATGTAGGTGGATTGCTTTGTTTACGATAAAAATCATCATATCCTTCTATCATAAACTAGATTTAATTCTGAGTTTCCTACTACTATAAATTGTATTCATGCTGACTGAAAAGTTCAGTGCTCCAAGAGAGAATATTTGGTTGGTAAAAACAGATAAGCTCACCATCCATGAACTGGTAGAAGGGAAATACGAATTTTCCTTTGCAAGAAATTTCACTGGATCTGGAATACTCTCCAAGGTTCTTATCGGGTATATACGTCGACAAGTAGTATTGCCAAAAATTACAGGTTTTCCGTAGGCTCTAATAAAACCAGAACTATTTGTTTCTCATGAGCTTACGCTTGATAACTCGTTGTAAACAAATAACGTTGTAGTCTCTTCTCATCTTCAGATGCTAACCTAGCATTTAAAGTTTCCTAATAAGTATCAAAAAGAATACCGGTAAACATGTTATATAGAAAAGCTGACGTACAAGCTGGGGAAACACAGCAGATTTCAAATATGGTTTTTCCTGATGATCTGTATTTTCAAGGCTAGCTTAACAATTCAGATGAAAATGTGAAACGTTACCACCAAGTTTGGCTCGAATAATACTATCTCTGACGTAAGGCTGATCCATTGGGATAGGATGACCGGTGGTTTCTGGAGGCGCCATAAATAAGTTCCCTCTGTATGAATTCATGCTCTTTCAAAACAAGGCAAGACAGAATTACATATCAATTAGTTTAATACAAAGATATACCTTAGTATGTAATTTTGCGGTGCCATCTCTGCATGGACTTACGCCTTGAGCTTTCATGTCACCCTTGTTTTTTGATGAAGAGTCACATGTATCCTCATAGTCTTCGTATTTAGCCAGAGAAGGATACCTGGGAGGAAATCCTAACAATTCACGTCGTTTCATTAGATGCTGTCGTTTATTTAATAGCATGTTGTTTTTTTCTTCCTTTCTTCTTGCCTCTCTGTCAAGGACACTTTCATTTATATAGTTGACTCCCTTAAAAGGTGTTTCCATTTTTCATGCACTAGTTTTAAAACACCGGACGAGGTGTTTCTAAAAGTGACCACAAAAATAGGTGATTAAAACAAGCAATTGCTACGTCTCTTCAGAAAGCTGATGACAACATTTCTACTACTTTAAGTGGTAATTTATTTGTAAAATCCTCCGATTCTTGTCTGAATAAATACGTGCCCTCTTTGGAAAGTTTAACAGGTAAACATTTTCATAAACTTTGTTAACAGAAAGTGTAAAGTTCTAGGTCATCCTCGTGGCGATAATGCAGCAGACAAATCAGTCTTGTGACACTTTTCATTACTCATAGTTGAGCATTTTCTAGGATAATCACCTTCTAGCAATAATTGTGGAACAAACTAGTGGTTAATCCACACATTTTTTTTTTCGAAAGTTTAGCCAGTGATCCCAACTGCCCCTGCATGTGGTAGAAGCACATTACCAATGGCTTATCTGTCCTCACGTTCAGGTCACTGGCCAATTTATACATTCCTTGTTTGTTTGTTCCACGTATATATGTCACGGTTTCCTTTGCAAATAGACTTTCCGTTTCACCCATTCATGTGTTCTTGCACGCGTAGCAGGTTAGGGAAATTAAGCAGCTGCTGTATATGTTGCTGGCCTGGGTATGTGATTTCGTGATCACCGCGTCTATATTCAACTCAGAGTTTCAAAAGAAATACAGAGGTACCTTGCTAATAACGTTGCTTAATGTGTCGCTGATACAGTGCGTAATCTTGCGTCAAAATGCTACATCTCATCCATCTAAACACTAACCCTGCGTCCCTTCACGTCCTAACTAACTTAGTGGGTTGGGAGCCATGTTGCACATCATGGATGGTGCAATTTCTGCATGCTGTTTTCTGATATTGTCTCATTCCTTTTCACAACTGTATAGACCATGGACTCCAGTGATAGTAGCTTCCAACACTTACAGTTTCGATAGCCTCTCCCTCTGTGTACAGTGTTTACTTCTTTGGTGGATGCTACAAGCGCCTAAATACACATCAGAAGCTAATGTGAACATCGCTGAAGAACTTCATGTTTTCGTACCCCACGAATCATTTGCAGACAGACACTTTTAGTTTTAGTAAGGATGGCGTTTTCGTCAGCGATAAGAGCTCCCCTACTTATTTTGTTCAGGATCACAATAAATTGCTTCGATAAATGTATAAAGATTGTTTATTTTTAGTTCGGCTACTCTAGCGTGAACAACAAAAACCTTAAACTGTTATCAAGTTGTTAGATTGTCCCATACTTTTATATCGAAAGGCAGACTTCGGTGCTTTCGCATACTTTCAGGTGAATCGTTTGGTTCATCTGCTTCTTTATTTGAACAACTGACTTATATCCTGCGTTACGTCTTATATTACACCTAGAAAAACAATAGTTGTGTTCCATATTCCATCTTGCATTCTGTGGTAATTAGACCGTTCGTGGTTCATTGGAGTGTTGTACTTTTTTGTTTGAATGTGCATTTTTGTTGACTTCGAGATATTTTGTGTTCAGGAATTGTGCTGGTGTTATTTGGGTGCCGGACGACTTTATATTTGGAGTACTGTTTAATATTTATCTGATAAATTTTGTTGAATAGAACAATAATCTTTGAGTTCTTCAACAGTGTGATGTCAGTATAATTCTGTTCGGAATAACTTTGTTTTGTTTTAGGTTTGGTCATAGACTGCGAGTCCGTATCTTCAGACCATTATTCGTGAAGTGGCAGAAACACCATGTGTGTATCGATTTTGGAGAGTATATAGCCACTAAAGAATGTTCGAGGGTCCACTCCATATAACAGAGTTCTTAATAACTACCTAGCTGATCTGTAGATATGGTGGTGGTCACTAAGGTGAATCACCCCATTCTTCAGAAATAGCAAAATGCAATTTGAAGTCTCGAGATATTTCTGATTTTTATGAGGGCTTAGATCTTTATCTTGAAAAAGATAATAATGAACGCCCTGACAGATCATGCTTCTACCTTTGAATATATAAAATTCGCTCAGCCTATTGTTGAGACGCGACCACGCGGGATCTGCACAGATTCATGGGGTATCTTACAAATTAACTTTCTATCCATCGTCAGATCTTTAAATACCACTTCACAATGTCTTGTCTCATTTATTTTCCAATAACGTCTTTACTTGATCCTCATTATATTCCATTAAACCTAACATTATATAGCATTAATGAATTTGATTCCACTTGTTCTATTCCTTTGCAATTGATAGCGTTCTATGAGCTCCTTGGTTTAATTGCGAAGCTTTCACCGTTGTCAATCACGTCTCATAAACCGTTAATGCCCAGCTCTTGCTACGCTCGGGCCCACGCTGTTCCTTGAAGATTTCAGAAACGCGTAGTTATAACGGACGAAAAAATCAAAACACCGATTGGCCGCTTGAGATTTCTTTATTGTTACACCAACATATAAAAATAATAACTGAAATAAGTTCTGTGAACAAATATTACAATAATAAATCATAGTATTACTTCTGACGATGTTTCACTCTTCTTTCTGAACAGCGACCGATGAGACGATGACTGTCGTATTGATGCCTCCGCGAAAATATAGGGAAGGTGGGTTTGAGCAAACAACCATGAATTGATCGTTCAATCTTCAACTCCATTGACACTCCCCGGCAAAATACGGATCCATCCCTTTTTTTCTTCACGACCAATACACGTTGACTTGGATGCCATTGCGAGAAACTGGGTCACACGGACAGAGCTGAAATGGAAAACAAACAGAAAAGCCAACACACCACAAGCATACTCACAGCACAATCTCACACATTGCTGACGACCTGCGCCTCCAGACAGAGACCTCCTCTTGACATCTTGCAACACAATCGCCACTTGCTAGAATGACTCTTGCAGAATGCAACGTGACCATAGCACCAACTCATGATACTCTACGCACATCCTCTTATCTACTCACTACCAATTACCACTGCAATCGCTTGTCACTCATTCTGCCTCAGTTCTAGTAACGGTGACGCATGCGAGCCTCAGTCGTTTACACTCTTTCTCCCCGGCGTGTCGGACCGCAGCTAACAATTATCTCCGTGTGCAATTCATTCTCAGCAATAGCCTCCCCGGCGTATACGCCCCATCTGCTGTCCTTAACAGCAATCAATTCATTCATGGATGTAGAAGACTCGAAACAACTTCAGAAGTAATCACGACGAAAATTTTAACAAAATTACGCAATAAAAGCAAGGTACGAAAACAACGAGTAAACACAATGGGTCCAAAAAACAATAATTGATATGACACACCACACATATATACAAACAGTACACACAAACTCGCAGTTCATGTCTTGATGGAATTCCTTTGAAGAATCGCAGGGCTAACACCAGTACGCCTACAACACTTCACAGGTTGACGATTGTAAATTGTGGAATGTCCGGACACAAACAAGATTAACCAACAATTACGCCATTTGGAACCCTTTCAATTATTCAACATAAGCGTATGCACAATCAACACATAAAAGTGGTGGATTCTGACACGACAAACTACCCTTGAAGAACTGTAGGACTTACAGCAGTACGCCTACATTCCTTCTCAGGTTGATGATCCAAGTGGAAGTCGTCCGGACACAAACAGAATTACCAACAGATAAATGACAGATGATATCAATTCAGTATATACAACACGAACATATGTACGAAATCACACACCGAGCACATTGGACTGCTCATTGATGCGCTACCCTTTGAAGAATTGTAGGACTTACGGCAGTACGCCTACAACTCTCCTCAGGTTGACGCCCTAGGTTAGAAAATCGTCGCAGAGTTCATTTGCTGACCTCCTCCTATCAGCAATATCTTCAAATCTGAGTGGCAACTCGCTCATGTCATTGTATCGTAGAATATAGATGACGAACAAACACACGAAGTATCTGGTCAACCAAGCGTAGAAACAGAGTAATTTACACCGAAGATAATAGCATTCAAATAGTAACTTGAAACTAGAAATGCCTTTATTCATGCAAGTCATTTTAACAATTACTCTTTCGTTTACACTTGGCTTATCCTCACTAAACTGACCATTGATATTCGTCCTTTCAAACGAACTGATACTAGCATAGTCATTGCACAAGATACTTGAGTTGATGGGCGTCTGTTTCATTGTGGATGACAACACCAACGACGACTGATTTATACCAGTTGATGAACTTAGCGGTGGATCAGAAGCTGTTGTTGTTCGGCTTTCAGAAAGTTGTCTACCTGCAAGACCACCACCACTGGTGTCTTTTACTATCAGCTCAGGTTTAGCACTAGCATCTGATGATAGGTGGGCTACATGCTGATCAATCACACTGACGGTCTCACAAGTACGCATGCCTTCTGCAACTGCACCTGCATTTAATTCTACTTCACGTTCAAGTTGTACAGAATCTTTATTTAACTTAGCGGTAGTAGGCATTCCCTCCATTTCATCATGATCAACCAAAGAGAAATCTGCACTATCATGATCATTATCACAAATATTCAATTTACCGTCAAGTTCATCATTTTCAAACTCTTTAATAACAGAAGTAGACAATTTTGGATCCTCCTCACAAATCATTAAAGGTTTTATATCTTCACTCTGACTAGTAATACTTTGTAAACTTGTAGGGTAAGAACTGCACTCTGAAGCAGCAACTCTATTCTGTGACACTCTATTCAACAATGGCTTACCAGTTGTAACTACAGACTTCTTCACCGCACCGTTATCGTCACACAATTTGGAGTCAGGCCTGGAGTTTACATATAGCTTATCACTGAACTTGCTCACTGGTCCACAGTTCACCCTTGTATTCACCTCTTGAAAACGTGTAAAACACAACCGTGCTTGCATCTTGCATCTTGTAACTTATCTGTTGAGGATGTACTACGAAACCCGTTACACTCACTAGATCTATATGCATTACTAGACATCATGGAACCTTCTCGATATCCACCTCTCTGAGGCCTATTCGTCATCAATGATTGCGTTTTACCCTCAGACTGC